CGATGTGGATGTTCATGGGCTCGAATGGGTCGTTCATCACCTCGCCCACGCCCACATTGCTCGTGCAGTACATCGTGGATTGCTTCCCATCTCCCATCGTCCACAGCGCCACGTCCCTCGCCCCATCGCCCGCCACGCAGCGCAGCGCAGCATCGGCAGGATGGGCTGGCAGGAGCCCGTCCCCTATCGATCGATCGATCGATTCCCACTGCTGATAGGCGTTGCACCCATCCGTGATCATGCCCCACTAGTCCACATCGCACTTCGTATCCAACACTTGCCCCAAGTGCCCTTCCGGCTACCCCGCCGCTTCGTCCGCGGGGCACACCACCGCCACGCACCTCACCTCTCTTCCATTCCACCACTTTCCACACGCCCACACCACGCACACCTCCACCTTCCCATGCTCCACAGACCCACAAATGCACAACTGCACCGTCTTGGAACTCGCCTGCTCCCACTGCCCATTCCAGTTCACTCGGCTCGCATCAATCAGAGGCGAGGACCGTGTCCACAGCAGTTCGCATACTCCGCCTTCTTGTCCCATTCTCCCAAGTTCCACACACGCTCCGCTTCTACAAACCTACAGATCTTGCTCCCATAGTTTGCCCTTTCACTCGTCGCAAATCCGTTCTCTCTACCACACTCCACCACCTCACAATATGAAAATGAAAATACGAGAAACAGAACAGATATCCTAGGCAAGAACGTCGTGCCTGTCCCAGATACCTCCCACGTTGCAAGTTATCTCCATGTATCCGCGGTCGCACATGGCATAAATGGGTTCGCCACGTTGCACAGTTTGAACTACAGAAATTCCTCACTCGGAACACACTCCACACAGCAAAAATGGAACCAGGGTCCACCGCCATTATGGTATTGAATGCGTTCACGATGCATATCTCACACACACAGTTTAGTCAAAGTAACGATAGCAAAGACTACACTAGCTTCTTCAAACACACCAACTTGACGACAGAACCCATCCCAGCTACAATACTTACACTCCCACAACACAACACACAAAAACACATAGAAGTCCGAAAACAAAGCAAAAGGCAGGACATACAAGTCCAATTCCAAATTTTAAATACATTCAAACCCAGTAAGACGAAGCTAATAGCTTTTATTGTAAAACAAATGATTTCAAAAATACACAGGAATTGTGCAATTGTGAAAATAGTATTGAAATTGGGTATGAGTGGAAGAATAGATTTCGAATAGGGAGGGAGTTGTTTTTACTGTGAAGTGGAAGGAAATGAGCGGAAATGGGATATTGTGGAATGAATAGATCGAAGAGTGTTGTTTCCAGTGGAAGCGTTTTGTTTTTCGTTCTATTCATTTGGAATTTTATCTAGATGGGATAGAAAGAAATAGGGTATGTAGAAGATGATGATAGGAATGAAAATGGAAAAGCTAGCGATAAGCAGTTTTTGGGTTATCATTTATATAAATAATATGTGATATGTGTATAATAGAATCGAATAGTAGAGTTTGTGAGAAAGGTGGGTGTGTCGTTGAAGAACTGAGCAAAATAAGGTAGAATACATAATATATTTTATACGAACAAATAGAGATATATTCATATCCCACTGTTTCTAGGTTTTTCGATAGTTGGTGTCCAGTTTTTGTCGTTTTGATGCACTCTGAACCTATCAGAGATTGTTATATTGCCAGAGAATACTATCTCTTATTCTAACCCATATAGTATCCCCCACCTGCCAAATAATGCAGAATATCTCCTATTTAAAGGAAGGATCGAATTGTTCACCACTTCAATAGGGATACAAAGTGATTCACAATGTTGTTATATTACGAGCATGAATAACAATAGTATACATAATACTTGCTGTTTGAGTTGGTTGATGAAAGTGAAATGCTTTGGTTCCCAACTCATTAGGATGAATAGAATTACTCACTAATAGTGATATCAGTATTGTTGATGATAAAGCTGAAATCCATAAGAATGGACTCTATGGGAATGAGTAGTTGTCCAATATCAAGCTGTGAGACATATCTGGCTGATTATTTGTTGGAGACAACAATCAAACTATTACTTTTCAGATATATATATATATGTATAGAAGATAGACATTGATATCTATCTATCTATCTATCTTCTTGAATACCTTACTGAAGTTGTGCTTACAAGATATCGTGAATGAGATGTACACATTCGAATTCAAGGAGATCGGATTGTCATTCGCATCTGTCAGCACCCAATCAATGTAGTCCAAGTTCGATTGTTCAATCACATCGATCGATAGGTTGTCCCAGGTGATCATGTTGTTCAGTCCCATCGATACATGAATCAGGTTATCGATCAGCGGACTCTTCAGACCGAATGTTTGAGCATTGATACTACTGTAGACCCGGATCCCACTCATGCCATTCGTGATGTCGTAGGCTCCTCTGGGTATTAACACCTCGTGTGGGTATGTCCCCGCATCGATTAATATCACTTGATTGGTTGGGACGTTGTGCAACACGAAATCGGTATAGAGTGACACAGACGAGATGGAACAGTGATCGAATGATAGAGGATTGTCCAGCTTCACTTCCTTCTTCGTAGTATTACCGAACACTTCCATCATACTCAACTGGTTCATCGGTAGAATTGAGGAAGGCACTTGATTAAACACATCTTCTATCGTCAATTGGAGTTCGAATTCGCCGTTCAATCGCATGATATTACCATCCATATCGAGGAGCACGAACATCAATCGATCGAATCGGGTTATCATCGGAATGCAGATGTCCTCCACGGTGCGGAGATAATTAACCTCAGAATCGTTAATATTCATTGTGGTGAGCAGATTGTTGTTCTGGTTGGCAATCTTCAGGTCCGATGAACGCACGAGGGACGAATACACTTGGATCACTTGGCGATTTCGCGTGATATCAATCACGTTCGATCCATAGAACGAAGCGGATAGAATAACCATTCGCCCTTCCAAACCGAGGATTTCTCGAATATCCGGAGCATTGGTGAAATCGATGATGTGTGAGGACTGGATATAAATACATCCATAACTCGAAGCCTTCGTAGATATCGAGAACGTAGTATCGGTCATGATGTTGAGGATAGCAATGATTTGACCGATCGTGTAGTATCCATGAAAAATCATTAGCTCTTCGTCATTCGAGTTGGTGACCACATTGATAGAATCCATTGTTGAACATCACTTGATTGGTTCTGAAGAGGACAGTCATGGAAGTGATGTAGGGGTTCCAAAACTTGTATTAATAATCCAAGAGAACGTGTCAATTCTAAATAAACCTCGGATGATCATGAAGTAGTACACAACTTGCTTCTCTTTACCATAGAGAGCAGGGCAAACAGAGAAGGACCGGGTGACGCGAAAGACGCAAATTAAACATCCGTGGTCAATATTGGTCAATTTTGGCTGTTTTTTTCGATTTTGGCCACCACGGTTTTTTGCGTATTAGACGTAATTTCCATACTACTATCGGCCATTCTGTAATTTTCAAATCCATCCCACTGCTATTCACCCTCCCCTCCCTCTTCCCTTCTTCCAAAACACAATCACCTCGTGTATATTAGCCCAACATATAGCCTTCCCCCCTCCCAAATATACAAAGCACGTCGTTTTCCACTCCCTTTCGTTTCAATTCGCAATCTTCTCCAGAACACGCAAATTCCTCCGAATCAAATCTCCCTCTCTCCACTTCCTTTCGGGCAGGATTCTGCCCACTCCACTTCCTCATAGATTTTTCCAAAGTGTCTTTTTCTTTATGTTATTGAGTTGACTGCACATGGTGACTCAAGTTCATTTTGTTAAGTACTTGTTGATGTGGATCGTTGTGATGTGTATCTGGGTGGTCTATACATCACTTTTCATGTACGCCTCACTTGACCTGAGCAAGCTTGTTCGTCATTTCGTCGAACTTCTGACGCATTAGGTGAATCCTTGGAATCTTGTGGAAGACGCTTTTGAGTGGAATCTAGAGAATTTCCGGAATTTGCTGAATACTTATTCACTGTTTCTGAAGTCTCCTTTAAGAGCCAACCTCCCTTTTTGTGTATACTTGATAACATTCACTGGCTTTGTGGCCTACTTATGCCAGTGGATGATGTACAAGATAGAATGTGATGATCGGAATCCTCATCCTGTATTCTCCCATGGAAAGTTTGTGAAGGACTCAGTCACCTGCAACCCGGAAGAGCAGTGCTTCGAAACCATTGATCCAGAGATCCACACACTGACCGACATTCGCAAGCAACTCTCTCTCTTTTTCCCGTCATCTGTAGCCGCTTCGCCCAGTACGGAACCAAGGAAGCGATTCACACACGAAAACAATGGCTCTCCTATAACGACGTACATTCCTCGCTTCTCCTCTTCCATTTCAGGTTCTCCGTCTGTCAGAAACCATCGCCAACATCGCCATGAAGTATTCCCGCACCAACGCGCCCCTCTGCATCATCGGCGACTTCAGCTCCATCAAGTGCTGCAGTAGCCGCAATCATCGACTCGGTTCCCTTCTAGCCATCCTGGGCCTCGCCTCCATCGGTCGATCCACCGTGCTGATTCCGCAGGACGAAGAGCTGGCGACGGTGTCTCGCATCTTGGAAGAGCAGCACTGCGAAGTGCTCCTCACCAAGCATTCGCGGCTCGTGCAGCTCGAAGACACGCTCAACATCGGCTTCTGCCGCGATCTCCGCGTCGTTCTCTACACCGACGAAGACCTCATCGAGAAGTCGGACATGGGCGGCAATGCCCGCGCCGAAGAAACGCTCATGCAGGAGTACGACCTGGCTCTCGTGAGTCTGAGCCACGAAATCTACAACTACCAGAACACTGGTTCGTTCTTTCTTCGGGAGGATCTCTGACCGCGTAGAAGTCCATCCCACGCTGGAAGCGCGCGCCGATCTTCGCGACGCGCCGGCGCTGATCGTGTACAACAGCAACAAAGAGCCCATCGCGCTCACCCATCGCAACATCGTCGCCGCGGCGTCCGCGCTGGTCCTCGAGTACTCCATGACGTCTTCACTCGTCCGGGCGCTGAGATCTAGCGAGAAGGACGTCGTGCTCGCCGAGCCCATCTCCATCGCCTCCACCTTCACGCTCCTCGTCGCCACCATGCTCTGCGGCGGGCAGTTCTCCTTCACCAACCGCGTGCTGGAAGTCTGCGGCTCGCTGCAGCCCACGATCCTCTCCGCCAGCAACAACTCCTACTTCCAGATCTTCAACGAGCTGCTCGCCATCCTCAAGGCCACGCCCATCACCTCCTTCCTCCTCGCGCCGCTCCGCCGCCTTCTCGCCAACACCCAGTACTTCAAATTCGTGCGCCAGCGCCGCATCTCCGAGCTCCTCGGCGACAATCTGCGGCTCGCGCTCTCCTTCTACAGCTATCGCCCGCTCAGCCAGGACGGCCATCGCTTGCTGTAGGCAGCGCCCGGCGGGGCCGCTGACGTCTAGGTCCCGCATGCTGGGCGTTCCGGTGAGTATTATCTTTGGAAACACGGAGACCTGCGGGATCTGCACGCACAGCGTGAGGTGGGAAAAGCCCATCTTGATGGGCTACATCGCCAAACCGTTCATTTGCAACGCGCTTCGGAGGTCGGAGGGGAACACACTGCTCATTGCTGGAAGCAATATCGCCGAAAGTAGCAGAATGGTGAGCGAGGATGCATGCAAGTGGTTCGATAGTGGCATCTCCATTCTGATCATGAAGAACTATTTTATCGTTCATAAAATGCCAAGGACGTATGACAGTACGATGCCTGCGTGATTTGGGCCGGGCGTATGAGGTGGGGTGTGCTGTGGTGCTGTGGTGCTGTGGTGCTGTAATGCTGTAATGCTGTGGGGTGTTTGTGAAATACACAACGGACGAACTCTCTTCAACGCGTTTGGGCGATGGATGGCATGGAGAGCATAACACTAGAATGAACACTCTGAAGGAAAACGGAGAGGAGAGGGAAGGCAAGCAACACCTTCGAGAAGGCTAGCAACACCTTCGAGAAGGCAAGCAACAACTTCGAGAAAATTCCTTTTCTCTATTCTCCCAACAAACAAGGTTAAAAAGGTAATCGCATCGATCGCAGAAACTCCAAACAATTCTGGATTCTCCCACGAATAGGATTCAGCTCTGCACAATTATCAACACGGTTTTATAGCTACCTTGACTAAAAGCAGATGGTGCACACGTTGGACGAAACGCTTCAGAAACTGTGTGGTATCCCTGTCGCTGCTTGTGTCGAGGGTTCTTTTTACAAATCACATACACCCTTCCCTTTCTCTTCACATACTTCAGAGGTTAGGTCAAAATGCATCCCAAAGCAAAGACGTACCTGGCAACAATCACATAAGAGCTTGACCGACGATCGAACTTTCATTGATTCCAAAATTATGATTTGCGCCATTGAAGAGTTCCGCGTTTGGGATAGTGCATGAAGTACATCGAATGCTGTGCAAGGAAACAGAAAGGGACTAAAAGTGATCAGTCATACAAGAAATGGCGCATCCTTCTAACAGAAAGCAGACTATTTATAAGTGAACTTTGCTACAACAAGATAATATTATTAGTATTATTATTTATTAACAAACAGGCAAATTCACTTAAGGAGTAGGAGAAGAAGGTCCAATCGTAGTAGGAGTTTCATATCCAGGGCAGTTAGGAGTAGAAGGCAGAGGATAAGGTCCAGTGATATCATTGTTGAAGGAACCAGTCACCTCCCAATTCCAGTTGAAACGGCACTGAGCAGCATCCTTCACATCATTCATATCGTAGTAGTAAGTTCTGGTCATCGTCTGAGACTGGAAAGCGCTGTCATCCACGCAGAACACAGGATACTTCACCAAAACCTCAGCAGCCTCAATGGTCACACCAGTTTCAGGGCAAGCATTGATCAACTCCTCAGCGAAAGTAGCAGCTCCCACCAAGTTGTATCCGTTCATGTTCAGGTTAATGTAACGCAGCTTAGGGAAATGAACATCATCAGTACACATCTCATACAGCAAATCAACAATATCTCTAGTAAGATTCGCGGCATAACCAGGCTTCTGACCATCCATCGCATAATCGTAAGTAGCAATGTAGTTCTTCACAACATGGAGCTCCTCCAAATTCAAATACCAATCTTTTCCGCCATTAGTCTTCAGGTCTTGTAACACTTCCAGGAATCCTTCACGGTACAGAGTTCCGTCACCAATGTACAGAATACGAGGACGAGTGAACTGCGCAAGTTTCAAGTGCAGCAGAGCAAGCTCAGTACTGATCGTACGACCCTTAATAGGATCGTTCATGATGTAGAGATCAATAGGAGCCTCATTCTTAACCTGCTTGCCCAAAGAATCAATCCACAACTGAATATTAATCTTATCCACTCCGGAAAGATCAATCACACGAGTATGAGCCAAAGCCTTCGTAGGATAAGCATCACGAATAGCCAGATACAGACGGGTTACATTGGTCTCAGAAATAATCTCCTGCTTGCAAACATCAGGAGTCACATAGTTGCAGTTATCTCCCAGAATGAAAGGATCGTAGATAGGGAACCAAGGCTCGGGAGTGGGGGTAGGAGTGGGGGTAGGCGTAGCGGTGGGGGTCGGAGTGGGGGTCGGGGTCGGAGTGGGGGTCGGAGTGGGAGTAGTGGTAGGCGTAGGAGTGGGAGTAGGAGTCGGGGTAGTGGTAGGAGTAGGAGTAGGGGTCGGAGTAGGAGTAGGAGTGGGAGGAACAGTGGGAGGCTCAGGAGTAGGAAGAAGCTCGCTCACAATCGGACGAATAGCGAATCCAGCAATACCAGCAATATTCGCATCAGCCTCAGTCTCACGAATCGGCAAACGGAACACGAACGAATCGCAAGCACGAAGTCTAGCCTCAATAGCGAAGAAAGGCCACTCAGCAAACTCAGGCTCACCATCCACAGCATACTGCTTGTACTCCACCACAACACCATACACAGAAGGTCTCCAATAAGCGGTATCGAAATAAGGACCCTCCTCACGATCATTACGGTAGTACTGGAAGAACTCAGGATCCAGACCCAGAGTCACAGCAGTAGGTCCCTTCATCACCAATTCCATCAAACCCCACTTGTTGTAAGTAGAAGGCTTCTCATATCCAGCAATGTGATACTTGTTGACGTCATCAACTTCCTTGCAAACATCTCCCTCATAGTTGGTGTGTCTGTAGAATTGACGATAAGCAATACCATTATCAAACACATAATCAAATCCCCAAGCAATAGGAAGACCCTCGCAAGTATCAGTCACTCCGTGCTCCTTACCAACGCAATCAATCAACTCCTGAGCAGAAAGAGCCACCTCCACAATCTGATCGTACTCCTCGAAGTACAGCTTCTTAATAGCGTACTCAATCGAAGTACTCACAGCGAAAGCCCAAGTCACAGAGCAGTTCTGAGGCTTGCAAATGTACTCTCTCAGAGTCGTCTGGTCAGCCAAACGACGAGTAACCTCGGGAGCATCGAAAGTGTAAACCTCATCACAAGGATCCAGAGAAGGCATCAGATAACGGAGATTCGAATTGTTGTGAACAGGGGTTCTAGCAGGAACAGGAGTCTGAATACCAGAGTAACGCTGCTTGGTCGTCGTAATCTCCTCGAACTCATCAGGATGCCAATCAGCATAGAAAGTGAACTCCATCACATACTTGTCACGAGTGTTCCAGTCATGGATCTTCTCGCAAGAATCCTGGAAGTACTCCAGACGCTTCTTGAACTCAGCAGACGTCTTATCACGAGAAGTGCACTTCATGGAATAGTCCCACTTATCCAGATACTTCAAATAACCATCCTCAGTGCAAGGGAAATCGTCCTTCTCGTTGGTAGGATCAGTGGGGTAAGCAGGCTTGCCAGTAAGAGGCTTGCTCTTATCGAGGTCAGGCTTCGTGTGGCTGTCGGGGACACTAGTCCAGCTCTCAGTCACATAGTCCAACTTCAGGAACACGCTGTTGACGTTGGAAGCATCAAGATCATAGTTCTTGTTAAAAGTCAGATACTTCACATTCACCACAGCAGGAGCTCTGCACTTAATATAATAGTATCCAGGGTTCAGACAATAAGCAGCAGCATAAGTCAGCTTCTCAATCAACACAAGTCCATCAGTCTTTTCAGAAGCATCAGAAAGACGCACCTCACAACGCTCCTCACCTTCCAGTTTCGTAAAAGTCACAGACATAAAACCTTCACCACACTCAGAACCTAAAATCACAAAGAAACAAAAACACTACTCTGAGCAACAACAGCTAAGACCAGCTGAGTAATAAGCACAGCACACAGAAAAGACTTCATAACACTGTGGAAAACTAATTTATGTGGTATAAACTAACAAAGCTCTTAATTAAATATACTGTTATTTGATTGGTTTATTACCATATCTAAACGTTCTCATAAATAGCAAAGGAAATTGGCAGAACCGTTATATTGCTAAGAAGAAATGAATGACTAAATACCTCTGATTTCTATGAGTATATGAAAGAGGTTATTTGGTAGTTTGAAGTTGAGAAGTGTTAGTAATTGATGTTTAATTAGCCCATTCATCTATCATTCTTATCGTATACTAGTTTATTCACAGTTCGAGTAGTAGTACTGTTTCTCGAAGTAGAAGTGTGTCTAAAACAGTAAATATGAATGATGGTGAGAACGATATATACAATAGAGTAATGGTTATAAACTTTTAACCAAAGTTTTCTAATTCCTTTTGTATATAACTGGAATAGACTATTTGAAATAGAATGTAAATAATAGAATAGAACAGAATAGAATAGAACAGAAAAAGGATTGGGAGGGAAGATATCTATTTGACTTGATATTCTTAAAGACTATTCGAAATGATATATATATATATATGGAAAGAGAGATAAAAACACAAAGCATATATTTGAAATACTATTTGAGAAAAACCCGAACTATGATGATAATGGAATTACTATACCTAAGACTTCTATTATTAATCTATAATAATAATTCTAATGGGAATAAGTCAGTAGACAGAGAATGAGTATGAAAAGGTAAAATTGTTTTGAAAGTGAGAGTATAGCGAATTGGAGGATAAATGGACCCTATTTTGTCAGTATGAAATCCATATTGCGATATATGATATATTATGTCTAACTCGATGATTTCTTACTACATTTCTCGAAATGTGAATGGAATAACAAATGTGAGTGGAGGATCTTAGAGTAAATTAATTATTTTAACAATCAAAGAAACAAACAAATTATTGACCTACAGGAGATCTTGAGCAGGCCGTTGACCGCCTGTTACGTCCATACCTTACTGCCTTGGACTATAATACTATTTTGGGACTTCGTATTCTATAATTATTGGTGAATATTTGTGAGTATGCTAAAGATGAAGCTTGGTGAGCCGAATTGCAGTATAATCCATATAATATACTGTGTCAATTATACGATTTTATTCCTTGGAACTACTCTACTATTCTCTCTAGTAGTATTCATCTTTTCTGAAAACTATTGATGGATAAGCTCTCGTTCCTAATGTTTCTTGTTTCATTTATGGAAAAAGCATTATTATATGGTAGTTATCATTATAAATAATTCAAAGTTATTTGAGAGAGGCAAATAATAATCGAGTTTGCTCTGATGTAATGATAGCCATTTTGCATTTATTTAATTCATCATATATTATAAGTAATAATATATGATGATGAACTATACATCGAATCCAGTAACTAGAAGTAAAACTGTTAATGGTACTCTCTCCAATAATAGACTATTTAGGAGATACAATACTACAAAAGAAGGACTTCTATTTGATTGAATTATGCCATTTGTACTTAGGTCCACAAAATATTGAAGGAATGTTGAGTGTAGATATCAAATAATAGATCCTTTATATGTACGAAGAAGATCTTTTTTGGTTGCAGTTGTGGAATGATCGCTATTTTGAATATGAGTGGAGTGGAGTGGAGTAGAATGGAATGAAAAGGACATAAGACTAATAGGTAAAGAAAGACGAATTAAGTGAGTATGAATGTGCCACATTATCGAGATGTGAAATCAGAAAACATGCAGGATCAGTGCGTGAATAAAATCGACATATTACAAGAATGATAAAGAGGGTATAATCAAAGTTTTCAAATGATATCACCTGTTTTTGTTGTAAATGCTGATTATGATGAAGCATTGATCTAACAAAAATTAAAAAAACATTAACCTATTAGACTCTTTACTTTTGTATTGATATTAAACCCTATTTCATAACAGATGAATTCGCTTAATCAATAATAGTTTATCGTAGTGTATCATTTGATGCGAGAACAGTAATACGAATTGTAATGTGTGGATACTTGAATAGATAGATGGTGTATAATTTGAATGGATATATATAGTCTATTATCTGCCTTGCCTTAAATGATAATGAAATCCTATCCTTCATCAATATTCTTATTTTTCATTTTGCATCGTTTAAATAAAGTATACAACACAATTATAGTTATGTTAAATATATAGTGTTTTATGATTTCGTTATAGTATTACAGTTCTTCGAATCTTGTATCTTTATACTCTTCCTCTTTCTAATTCATTACTCTTTGCACTTCACCCATTTCCATTTTCCATTTTAAATGTCCTTTTGAATCAGTGATAATTACTCTTGTTATTGTATCCATATTATCACTTGTCACATATTAATAGTCATAAGCACTTGATAATTCGCTTTTCTCGAATAGACTATTGTTTTTTATCATCAATGTGTATAGTGACAAATAGCGTATCATTTCTTTCTTGAATGCATGTTCGGCTTTACACTATCAAGTTAATTCCTTTCATCTGGCCATTCAATCAATTCAGTTTCATTTGCTGTGATTAGAAAATGTGCCTAGTTTTCTTTCCCTCAAAAGGAAATCCAAGTATGAGTTTGCCATCTTTCGAAAACAAATTTCGGTTTTATAATCCTTGAGATATAGTCTTCGTTTATGATCGATTGCCTTAGCTTATTAACTTTATCAGTAATTAATACACAACATCATTCTAATTAACTAAACTACGATAAATAATGAACTCACTGATTTACTCTTAACTCCCTCAGAATATACCAAAATATACATACATATATATATATTGATAAAAAACAGTAAAATATGCATGAATTATAAGGGTCATGGGAGAATTGATAAATTAGAGTTTTTCCAATAGAGATGTCAGTATCATAGTGAGAACAATAGACTGCATTAATATAACATAATATCTTCAAATTGGAAAAGAACGGTATGAATTACAGGAACAATTGGTACATGCGACAGATCCTTTATTTCTACTAACTAATGCTTTAGTTGTAAGTGATATTTCAAGTATTAGACTTTAAAGTAAAATACTATTTTCTTTTGAGTCTAACACTATCCACCCATAACCTTATCCACTCAACAATTTGTGCCTATAGAACGAAGTTTGTACTCTTCTTTTGGAGATTACTCTCCTTCTAGAAATAGAAATCCACCAATACTTATAGAATACGAAGTCCCAAAATATCATTATACTTTAAGATCCTCCACTCACATTTGTTATTCCATTCACATTTCGAGAAATGTAGTAAGAAATCATCGAGTTAGACATAATATATCATATATCGCAACATGGATTTCATACTGACAAATTAGGGTCCATTCATCCTCCAATTCGCTATACTCTCACTTTCAAAACAATTTTACCTTTTCATACTCATTCTCTGTCTACTGACTTATTCCCATTAGAATTATATTTATATATTTAAATATTGAGTAGTTATGCATTGACGTAAATTGCGCGAAAATGTTAACCTTGGCTTATTTTGCTCACCCCCACTATCTATGGTAAAGAGAGGTCACTCCATTGCTTGCTCCGCGACTCGTAATACTTCCTGAGTTGAGTTTTGGTGTGCACGTAGATGTCCAAGTTCCCTCCGAGTGTCTGTGCAACGATCGATCTGAGAGGACTGCTGATGAGTTTCAACGAGTCCTTGAATTGAATGCCATTGTACTCAATCTGCATCTCCTTGTCCTCGGTGGTTGGAATGACTTCGAGATTCCCGCCAGGCATCGTCGCGATGAGCTTCATGATGAATGTGAAATCGTAGTGCGATCCATTGTGGAAGTACACGGGCAAACGATAGTTCTTCTTGTTGAATGAGAGTTGTAGATTGCACTTGGTACAACAGGTGCCGATAAACTGCCCAGCCTCGTAGAAACGGGTCTCGACGCCATTCGAATACTCCCTGCCACATGTGCATGATGTTTCACCTTGTCGTCCTCGAGTTTCTTGCAACAAAATGGACACACAGACGTAGACTGATAATCTCTCTTGATTTCGGGAGTGTTCTCGAGGGGTAATTCATCGAAGAGGTACTTCTTTACACTCACTTGCAATCGAATCAAGTATTTTATGAAAGGACGAAGGTCGCTCTCTTCCTCCTGTGGTGCGTGGAAGAACTGCAGTTGAGTCTGGATGGCTGGAATGCGTGACACGACCAAGCAAGACAGCATGATGGGTTTGTGCTTGTTCTTGTCATCAATGGATAACTCGAAGTCAGCATACACGACGACAGGTGCTGACATTTCGAATTGAGGACGTGTATCTTCACTCGACAACTCGTATTGATCACGATCATCCATCTGTTCGTTATTTGCCTGCACTTCATAATTTTGGGCAGCTCTATGTGATCCAAGGAAGTCACAGAACTTGCGCTTCACGTTTCTTGCGAGATTAGAATTCTTTGCATCACTCTGACGAAAGATGCGATGTTTGAAATCGCTCAAGTCCTTGGTGTACAAGAAGTGTATGGGTGTAGGCTGAAGGAGATTCTGATCGTCTAGGATGCAGAGGGAGAAAACACCTCCTTTCCCTTCCTCTATTGTACACTTAAGAACAAGTGAAGAGAATGAACTTGTCCTTGGAGTAGTCATCATATCCAGGCAACAGAGTGATTTCGAAGACATTGAGAGAGACTTTCAACAATTTTGCCAATCTCGCGAATTTCTCTTCACTTTGATCGAATACCTTGTTATCACAAATGCCCATTGCTTCCTCCACCTCATGAATGGTGACCCCGAATACCTTATACTTGTCGGGTTGTTTCCACCACTTGTTGTACACGCTTGCATCACCCATCTTACGATTTGCAATTATCTTGTGTCCGCCTTCACTTGCCAGGATGAGACACCGTTGCAAGCATCAGTTGTCATCGATATTGGGATTAGTCACCATGAGTCCAAGGATCAAAGGTGTGTGGTGTTTGTAACCTACAAATGAGCGAAGTGGGAACATCTCGACATGGAAACCGATCCAACTAGAGTATAAATAAAAA